AAGGTTTTGGAAAAAACATGTATTACCTAATATCATGATTGCATGCATTATTATGCCTAACATGATAATCGAGGACAAACGTGATGTTAATGCGCCGGTTCGAGATTGGACGGAAATGCCAACTCCAAAAGTTGAGTTGGTTGAAGACGAAAATCGTAGCTTTCAAGAATTTCATGTCCGTCATAGACAAATCAATGATAAAGAGACTCACATTACACTTCAAAACGCATTAATTGATAATTTATGGGATGAATATACGGATTTCGAGAATTAAATTGCAACACCATTTCGAGTTAGTAATGTCATGAATCATGATATCAAGATTCGAAACGTATTGCACTATTTTTTAATGACATGATTTATTATTTTCTTATTTGTGGTGTTTTTATTAATTATATTGTATTTTTTAAATTTTTTAATGAATTTAATATTTTCGTTAATTTATTGTAATTATTTATTTAGTAATTTATGAAATTGTAAAATAAATAAATAGATAAATAAATTGTAAAGAATTAAAAAATGAAGAAAATGATTAAACTGTCCATTTGGTGTAAATTTGGTGTGATGGGTTGGAAATGATTTTTAATTTGTGATGCAAAATAACGCAAAACTTACCTCAAATTTTGGTGTAACGTTGAAGATGACTTTATAAATCAAGCTTATGAATGAGAAGTCATACAGTTCTATTATTCAATCACAACTTTATTAAGAATAAAGCTTATGAATGAGAGTTCTGCCAAAACACTTCTCTTCAAAATGGATATGGTCACAGGATTCCTAGTCGTGGGGTTATATTATGAATGAATAGGGTGGCCAGGGCTTGGTTTGAGCTTGGCTGAAGAGCGTGGCCAGGGCTAGGTTTGAGCTTGGCCGAAGAGCTAAGATTGTCCAACAAGGCTGGAGCTTTGCGGTATCTTGGCCCCGGGGCCTCGTTTTTGTCCAAATTCCAAAGTAACAAGTCAGAGATAAAAACTAGGGGAAATTAGGTCAAATGCTCTAGAAAGTGAATGAATTAGATTAATACTCCAAATTGATTAAACATCATATAAACCCCGTAATAATTACGTCCTATACTGAAACAAACCCCCAAAACCCAAAATCTTCCAACTGAATACAGAGACCACAAACGTTTAATTCTAAGTTTTTGGTGACATGATTATACTTTTTTCTTTTCCTCTTTAGGCTCGGAATTCGTAGAAAAAAAATTGCCCAAATACGGGGAGCAGTTGGAACTTAAAATTGCAAAAGCACAATTGGAGGAGCTGAAGAAGGATGCTCTTGGTGCAATGGATACTCAAAAGAAGAGGTGATCTATTCTGGATTCTACCGGGTTTTATTTCATTACAATCTTAATGGGTCTTTATATTCTCTGCTGTGGAATCCTTGCCCCCTCCATCTCTGCTGTGGTACACTTCCAATATTGAATGGATTGGTTGTGCTTCTTGAAAGTGGCAAAAGATTTGCTTATATGATTCACTGCGTGGCTATCACCAAATGGGGTTTGAATCTCATGTTTATTGTTGCAATACAATGACCAAGGCTAATAAAGACGGTACATGTTTGGAAAGTGCTGCCAAGGTGTTTGGTGAAATGTCTTACAGGGATTTGGTATCTTGGACAACGATG